CCCCCCCCCCCCCCCCCCGGGAACCTGAGGCCCAGGCAGTGGCCGTGGCTTGAGGAAGGGAGGGCCTGGGGAGAGACCTCAGAGGCAGCCCGGCAGCGACTAGACTGGGAGGGATTCAGAACAGAGGGTACACTCACCTCCCACACTTGGTCTTAAACATCTGGAATCGTCCACCATTACCCTGGAGTGGGGAGGTCAGAGGCCGGGTCGGGGAGGAACCTGTCCTGATTCACCCCGATTCCTGCCTGACTAAGGGAGGCAGAAGAGATTAGTGGATGATCATTTCCAGGGTGAAAGGGGGCGCATATCGCACTTTCTAGAAGGGGATGTTCCTCAACCAGAGAGAAAGCTCATGTGAAAACCTCCTGCTCCAAAGCTCTCTGTTCACGAGTCCACAACCGAACAGGGACATCAGCTGCCCTTCGGGGCCCCAGATCAGGCAACAGGATGGCCTCAGTGTCAACACGTGGTCCCCCGCCCCCCCCGTCGCTCGGGGCACTTACCCCATCCCCGCAGCCCCCCTGTCCCCTGCCCTCGTGTCTGAGCACAGCCAGCTGGGACCCGGTGCTGCTCAGGCAGAGACAGAATCGCTCTGCCAGGACCCTGTCCACACTGCCTCCGACCCCAGTGTGTCGTCTGCAGAGCCCCATTCTTGACTGTGTGTCTGTTGGCAGCTTGTTGCCCCACCTCTGAAAGAGGACGGCAGTGTCATCTGCATTAGATGAGAATCGCAGGGCCCAAGGGAGTAAGAATGACATATGCCACCATGCGGTTGATGGTGACCGTAGCCCATTCTTTCTCCTCTGTGCCTCACCTCTGCCCCCAAACTAGACCCTGGCCTGACCTTAGATGTTTGTGGTGCAGGTGCTGCTGGCGGCGGGGGGGGTTTTAAATGATTTTTACTGGGGCGCCTGGGTGGCTCAGTCGGTTGAGCATCCGACTTCGGCTCAAGTCATGATCTTGCAGTTTGTGGGTTCAAGCCCCGCGTCGGGCTCTGTGCTGACAGCTCAGAGCCTGGAGCTGCTTCGGATTCTGTGTCTCCCTCTCTCTCTCTGACCCTCCCCTGCTCGCACTCTGTCTCTCTCTCAAAAACAAACATTTTTTAAAAATTAAAATAAAATAATATAACAAAATTCCACCGAGCACATGTTAAAGATCTTACTGGCTCTATTCAATGATTCAGAAACCAGACAGCACCCAGTTGAGGAAATAGAAAGATGTTCCAAGGAGCTGTACCACGTGGAAGACTTTTACGGGCAAAGGGAGCCAAACAAGGCAGTTCTCTGAGGCCGAGAAGCAGGTTGGCTGTTGCGAGGTCACTTTCCTTCAGGGCGTCTGTCAGACAGACTACCTGACTCATGCTGAGTGTGTGATTCCTGAGTGACTCTAAGCTTGCACGTCTGGGAGAGCCGAAGCGGTGAGCCTGGGCTTGGTGGCGAGGGGCGTAGCATACGCGGCTCCGTTTGGAGGCTGTTGTCTTATTTTTCTTTTTCTTTTTTTTTTTTTTTAAATATTTTTATTTATTTCTAGGAGAGAGAGAGAGAGAGACAGCGTGAACAGGGGAGGGTCAGAGAGAGAGGGTGTCACAGACTGAAACAGGCTCCAGGTTCTGAGCTGGCAGTCAGCACAGAGCCCGACGCGGGGCTCGAACCCACAAACCGCGAGATCATGACCTAAGCGAAAGTCGGACGCTTAACTGACTAAGCCACCCAGGCGCCCCAGTTGTCTTATTTTTCACAGGAAAAATGGTACCGCTTGTGATGGAGATACTGTAAATCCAGGTTTTGATGGATGTTTGTGAAAGAGGCAGACAATGTTCAGAGCGGGAGCACGGCCTATGTTGGCTGGGCTTCCTACACGATGCCCCCCGACACCACTGCTGCCTCTTGTACTGACATTGAAGGGATGGGCAGTTTTCTTTTTCTTTTTTTCTAAATGTTTATTTATTTACTTTTTTAAATGTTTTATTTATTTCTGAGAGAGAGAGAGAGAGAGACAGCAGGAGCAGGGGAAGGTCAGAGAGAGAGGGAGACACAGAATCCGAAATGGGCTCAGGCTCTGAGCTGGCTGTCAGCACAGAGCCCGACACGGGGCTCGAACCCAGGAACCATGAGATTGGGACCTGAGCCGAAGTCGGACGCTTAACCGACTGAGCCACCCAGATGCCCCATCAAATGTTTATTTATTTTTGAGAGAGACAAAAGAGAGTGCTCACATGAGCAGGGGAGGGGAGACAAAGGATCTCGAGTGGGCTCTGCATTGACTACAGAGAGCCCAGTGCGGGATTTGAACTCATAAACCGTGAGATCATGACCTGAGCTAAAATCGAATGCTTAACCAACTGAACCACCCAGGTACCCGGAAATTGTTTTCGTACTTAGCCTTTATGCTGTTGGAACTGAGGGGCTAAAGGGTTGTTATGATTTGTTGCCATTCAGTAGTTTTCAATTCTCTCTCATTCAAAACCCCCCAGGGGCTCTTTTTAACAAAGTTGAGAAAATCCTCAAATTGTTTATTTGAAGCACTGAGATTATATTTTAATTCTGAAGAGAAGCCCCCCAAATTCTTGATTTTTAAAATAAGCCATAGGGATGCCTGGCTGGCTAAGTGGATGGTGTGTGCGACTCTTGATCTCAGGGTTGTGAGTTTGAGGCCCACATTGGGTGTAGAGATTACTCAAAATCTTTTTTTAAAAATTAATATACTCCATGAAGGGAAGCCTATTTTATTTTGTAGTTATAATTCCCGATATCTGGGGGCACCTAGTGGCTCAGTCGGTTAAGCGTCTGACTTCAGCTCAGGTCATGATCTCAACAACTCGTGAGTTCAAGCCCCGTGTCAGACTCTGTGCTGACAGCTCAGAGCCTGGAGCCTGCTTTGGATTCTGTGTCTCCCTTCTCTCTGCCCCTCCCCTGCTCATGCTGTCTCTGTCTCTCTCTGTCTCTCTCTCAAAAATAAATAAACATTAAAAAATATTTTTAAAAGAATAATTCTCAGTATCTGGTTAGCAATAGGATTATGCCAATTGAAAGAACAGAAAATGGTTCAGTGCTCTGTGGGGGTTTTTTTAGTTTATTTATTTTGAGAGGGGAGTTGTGGGGGGAGGGCCAGCACAAGGCAGGGGAGAGAGAAAATCCCAAGCAGACTCCACGCTGTCAATGAGGAGCCAAACACAGGGCTTGAACTCATTACCTGAGCCAAAATCAAGAGTCCGATGCTTAACCAACTGAGTCATCCAGGTGCCCCAAGTGTTCGTGTTTACAAGAATATCTTGAATGTGTTAAAGAAAGAATTGATGAGGGGCACCTGGGTGGCTTAGTCGGTTAAGCGTCCGACTTTCCCTTAGGTCATGATCTCGCGGTTTGTGGGTTCGAGCCCCGCGTCGGGCTCTGTGCTGACTGCCAGCTCAGAGCCTGGAGCCTGTTTCAGTCTGTGACTCCCTCTCTCTCTGACCCTCCCCTGCTCACGCTGTCTCTCTCTCTCTCTCCTAGAAATAAATAAAACATTTTTAAAAATTTTAAAAAAAGAAAGAATTGATGAAAAAGTTATCTCTTTATATCAATGCTATTCTTCTGTTCTTGTTTAATATTTATTTTTGAGAGAGACATAGTGCAAGCAGGGGAGGGCCAGAGAGAGAGGGAGACACAAAATCCGAAGCAGGCTTCAGGCTGTCAACACAGGACCCAACACAGGCTCGAACCCACAAACCGCGAAATCATGACCTGAGCAGAAGTCATACGCTTAACCGACTGAGCCCCCAGGCACCCCATCAACACTGTTCTTAAAGAAGATATTACTTAGAACAGGAAGAGAATTTCTGACTTGAAATGGGTAGTTCCTGCCTTTCCACGATGACCTTTTCAAAAAGATTTTTATCCCTGAAGAATCTTATTCTTTTACATTAATGTCACTGAACACCAGCACGGGGACAAATGGAGTCATCCTGTATAGTGTTGAAGAAGAGAATAAAAATGAGAACAAATGCATTTATTTTGTCAGTAGAACCATTTTAAAAAGTTGTTGATCAAGAGACGCAGCAAAGCAAATTGTGCTGTGAAAGATGGAATTTGACAGGTCAAATATCTATTTTTTTTTAATGTTTTATTTATTTCTAGGAGAGAGAGAGCGTGAGCAGGGGAGGGTCAGAGAGAGAGGGAGTCACAGACTGAAACAGGCTCCGAGCTGGCAGTCAGCACAGAGCCCGACGCGGGGCCCGAACCCACGAACTGCGAGATCATGACCTAAGCGAAAGTCGGACGCTTAACCGACTAAGCCACCCAGGCGCCCCTCAAATATCTATTTTTATGTTTAAGTAATCTCTGCACCCAACGTGGGGCTCCAACCTCGACCTCAAGCTCAAGCGTCACATGTTCCACTGACTGAGCCGACCAGGTGCCCATTGACATATGAAATTGGAAGAGTAGTTGGGGCGCCTGGGTGGCTGAGTCGGTTAAGCTTCCGACTTTGGCTCAGGTCATGATCTCACGGTTTGTGACTCGAGCCCCGCATGGAGCTCTGTGCTGATAGCTCGGAGCCTGGAGCCTGCTTCAGATTCTGTGTCTCTCTCTCTGCCCCTTCCCCACTTGTGCTCTGTCTCTCAAAAATAAATGTTAAAAAAAAATTTCTTTTTAACTCGAAGAGCCGTTAACTCTGAAAATACGTGTTCCCTGTGTTGACTCATAATGCCAAGATTGAGCGTGTTTTCTCATTAATGGACACAATAGAAGAAATTAAATGGACATTCAATGTTAAGAAATAAATTGGATGTGACCACTTAAAAACTATAGTGAAAATTAATAACAAGAAACCGCGCTACAGTGAAGTCGGGGAGAGCTCTAATCCACTACCACTCATAGTCAATTGCAGACCCAACCGGAAGAGGTGGACTTCACCTTGCGTGGAGTTGACCTTGTATGGGGCCTTCCCGGTAGGAGGAGGCGAGGCTTTGTTTATCCCCACCCCACCCCCAATAATTCAGCCAATGAGAAGCCAGTATACTTCCAACTCCCTCGTTTACTCCAATGGACTTTCAGCTTATAAAAGCGTTTCCCATTTGCCCCTTTTCTCCATAAAAACCGAGCCTCTTTTTCATTCCGCAGACTTGCCTACGGTTTCCTGCAGCCCGCGTGCCTACGATTGCAATTCCATTTTCTTCCCCCAACAAACCCATTTTTGCTGGCAAGGTAGCTGGCAGTTTTTATCTTAAGGTTAACAGGTTACAGTGTAAATGAAACACAGATCGTAAGGGCAAGGAGTCTACAAGAAGAAGAAACTGTTAAGGAGACCCGAAGCATCCGCGGCGTACAAAGAAGGAGGGTATATAAACGTAGACAACGTGTTGTTTATTTCGGAAAACCGGGAATGATTTTCCGTGTGGCGACAATACACGAGTTGGGTTTCCAGAAAGCAGGCCCAGAGTGTTCCAGAGAAACCAGCCCGGGGGCAGAGGCGGGGGCGGGAAGGTGCAGGGGAAGGCGGAGGGGGGGCGCCAGCCGCGTGGGGATCCTCCAGACCAGGTCGGTTGGCCTGGGAAGAGCCGTGACCTCGGGCAAGGTGCTCTCTGCAGGGAAGACCCTTTAAGGTTCTTGCCGCCTTGGCGCTGCGTTAGGTGTGTCGCATCCACGTTACAGAAGGGAGGACTGAGAAGTAAAGTGACTTGCTCCAACTCGGGCCTGTAATTAATTGGTGACAGCGGAAGTCTGAGCCCAGCCCTGCCCATCACCACACAGGTGGCCGCCCCTACACCGCGTGGCCAACGATTCACTCAGGAGTTGTCCCTGCGGTCCCCCTTCCTGAGCAGCCCTGAGCCCTCTGGCCTGCCGTTGCAGGAGCTGGCCGGAGGCGTCACTTGCAGATTTTGATCTCTGAATACTCCGTGGTGCTGGTGGCCTCCAGGTCCTGAGGAGCGGTCCAGGGCTTCAGGCCATGGAAGGTGAGAGAAGTGTAATGGGGTTCCTTTTCCTCCTCCAAAGGGGGAGCGTCCCCGGCTGGGGACGGGTGGTCTAGAGGGGTCCCTGACAGATGCTCATGCTGCGAACCCTGAGTGGAGGGGAAAGAGGGGGATCAAATTAGGATAACGGGAGCTGGCAGACAGCCAGGGGGATGCACGAGCAAGCCTGGACACTGAGCACTTAGTCTTTTATCTATTCATTCCACAAACACTGCCTGAGCCCCCATGAATTCATTCATTCGTTCAATACAGATTTGAGAGTAAGAATGCCTCGCCCTTGGTAATCAATTGCCAGGCTCCTAGATTCCTCACCAAAGCCATCAGGGAGGCACTATTAGCCCCATTCATGAGGGGGAGAAACGGAGGCTAAGTAAATATCCCCAAATCACACATTTAGTTGTGGGTAGGGCCAGGTCTCTCTGTCCCCAGTGCCTGTCACCTTATGGAACAGCTGCGCTGTGTCGGACCCTGGATATTCAATAGGGAACAAGGCAGACATCATCCACTACCTCCCACTAGCTTGCAATGGGGGATGCCGACATTAAAGTAGTAGTCAGTGGGGCGCCTGGGTGGCTCAGTTGGTTGAGCATCCGACTTCCGCTCAGGTCACGATCTCACGGTTTGTGGGTTCGAGCTCCACGTCAGACTCTCTGTTGACAGCTAGCTCAGAGCCTGGAGCCTGCTTCACATTCTGTGTCTTCCTCTCTCTCTGACCCTACCCTGCTCACAGCCTCTCTCTCTCTCTCTCTCAGAAATAAATTAAAAACATTAAAAAAAAAATTTTACGTAGTAGTCAATTATACTACTATAGTATATTATACTATAATATTTTTGTCATAATTATTATACTATAATAATATAATTATATAATATAATATATACTACTATAATATACTATAGTAGTATAATAAAAACTATAAATAATATAGTTTTTTAAAAACTATAAAGTACTTTTATAAAAGTACTATAATTTAAAAAAACTTTACATAGTAGCCAATTATACTACTATATATGGTATATAGTAGTCAATTATACCTCTATCTAATAGCAAATTGGGATAGGATGCACAGGAATGGGGTGGGTGGTGTGGGAAGGACAGGAATTTGCTAAGAACTGAACTGCCCTCAGGGACCACCCCGAATCTCAGGAGTATAGGCGAACACTGTAACAAAATTGTAGCATGAACATTAAAATCAATGTTGGGATGCCTGGGTGGCTCAGTTTAGTGTCTGACTTTTTTTTTTTTAATGTTTATTCATTTTTGAGAGGGACAGAATGAATGGGGGAAGGCCAGAGAGCAACGGAGACACAGAATCCAAAGCAGGCTCCAGGCTCTGTGCAGGGCTCGAACTCATGAACAGTGAGATCATGACCTGAGCAAAAGTCATATGCTTAACTGACTGAGCCACCCAGGCGCCCTTGAGCATCTGACTCTTGATCTTGGCTCAGGTCATGATGATCTCATGGTTTGTGGGATCGAGCCCTGCGTTTGATTCTGCACTTACAGTTCAGATCCTGCTTGGGATTTTCTGTCTCCCCACCCCTTCTGCCCCTCCCCCACTTGCACTTGGTCTCTCTCAAAATAAATAACGCATTTTTTAAATCAAAGGGTATTTATTGTGCACTAAAGCATTCACCACGCCCAAAGAAAGCTTTGACCCTTTGGCCCAGTACCTGGATTGGAATCTCTAAGCCACTGGAATGTCCTGCCTGATAGAAATGTCTCTCTGGGCCCCTGGACCCTTTGGCCACACCAGACAGTTTATGTTAATGTGATTTATAGGTGAGGCTTGGGCCACACAGTATCAGCTTGATCTCTATCTAGAGGGGCTGGAGACCAAGTAACAAAGGCTAGTTCTACAGCGACTCCAAGCCTATGTGATCAACCCTATGATAGAAACCCTGGACCTGAGGCAGGGGTGGGCGTCCCTCGGGGGCAGGACCTACCCACGTACCCACGTCTCTTATCCCACACCAGTGCCGGGGAGAATAAGCTGTCTTCAAGGCTCTACTGAGAGAGGGAGCTGGGAGGTCCATGCTCTGAATTCCCCTGGACTCTCCCCTTGGCTGTTTTATTATTTTTTAATATTTTATTTACTTTTTGAGAAAGAGAGAGAGCACAGGCAGGCAAGGGCAGAGAGAGAGGAAGACAGAGGATCCAAAGCTGGCTCTGAGCTGACAGTAGTGAGCCCGATGCGGGGCTCGAGCTCACCAACTGTGAGATCATGACCTGAGCCGAAGTCAGACACTTAACTGACTGAGCCCCCCAGGCGCCCCTCCCCTGGGCTGCTTTAAGCTGTACCTTTTCCCTGGAATAAACTAACCAGGCGTCTAACAGATTTCTGTGAGTTCTGAGTCCTTCCGGTGACTTACTGAACCCGAGAGTGTCATGGGGACCCCTGAACTTTGTAGTAGATGATAATCATTTGGGGAGTGGGGTCTCCCTGGCATCCTGTGTTAGGGAGGAGAGAGAGGAAGGAGGGGCAAGCGACTCCCAGGTCACTGGACTGGGTGACTGAGTTGATGAGGACCCGAAAGCAAAAGCCTGTGTGGGCCATGATGACCATCTAAGTCATCTAGAAGGGTGTGGCCGTGGCCACTGCACGGTGGTGGCCACATGGGACCCCGATGGACAGAGGGCTCAACACTCACCCGGGAGATGGGACCCAACGTGCAGACAGCTTCCTTGCAACCAGCAGCTGTCTCTGGTGCCTGTTTCCTGCAGGTCTTCACTCTGAGGGGGAGGCAGGGACCTGTCAGCAGCCCGGCTGACTCAGAGCTAGGAGTGAGCTGCTGTCCCCTGCTTACGAGGCTGGCAAGGCTGGGCACGGCTGGAGGAGAGGACGCACGGAGCCCGTCGACCCATGAGGACAGGTGTGATCAGGACAGGCGTGATCAGGGTGGCACTGCCCCAGTGCCCAAATCTTACAGCCTGGCCACCATCCGGGCTCCTCCCGCTGGGGCCGCCTGGGACCCTAGGACGCGGACCCCTTCCAACCCACAACCCCCCCCTCCCAGGGACAACACTCACGTGAAGATGAGGCAAGCACAGAGACTGAGCAGGCCAGCGACACCAGCACCCCCGACGGCCCCCAGCACGAATTTTCCCCCAAGCGGAGGCCTCCCTGCAGAGGAGTGGGGTTTCGGGTGACCCCCCTCCAAGCCCCAGGACCCTTGTGCACAGGCTTCCCCGCAGACTTGGGCTCTCGTGCACTTTATCCCCCAACCAGCAGAAAACCTGGACTCTGCCCCCGCAGGCTTCCTCCTCTCTCTCACCCCTTCCCATCCAGACCCCAGCCCCACCCCCACCCGGATCGTCTTTTCTAGGACGCCTTTCTCTGCCCCACCTTCCCCGACGCCCCCAGACCTGGCAGCAGCACCAGGACGGTGGCGCTCTGGGCCCCGTGTGCGTTCAGGGCCTCGCAGCTGAGTCTGAGGTCGGAGCCCAGCGGCCCAATGAGGCTCAAGGAGCTGTTGGCCCAGGGCCCCGCGGAGCTAGAGGTGACGGTCAGGGAGGCGTTGCTGCGGTTCCCCTCCAGCAGCCCCTCCCCCAGCCGCCAGCGCAGGGTGGGGGCCGGCCGGGCTGCGGAGGAGCAGGTGCAGCGCAGCCCCTCGCCCTCCCAGGAGCAGGAGGGGCTGAGCCGCCGCGGCGGGTCTGCGGGGTGGGGGGAGGGGCGGGGTCAGCGGCGCCTCTGCTCCCCAGGCCCCGGGCGCCCCGCCCCCGGGGGTCCCCGCACTCACAGACCACAGAGAGATGCAGGGAGGCCCTCAGGGAGCCCCGAGGGTGTTGAGCTCGGCAGGTGAATTCGCCTTCGTGGCCCAACTCCACTCGGGGCAGCTCCAGGACCCCCCGCCTCCAGGGCTGGGAGGGGCTCAGAGTCCCGCTCCCCTGGGCCCAGCTCAGTGTGGCCGGAGGGTTGCTGTCGGTGACACAGACCAGGAGCAGAGATTCCCCTTTCAGGACAGGAAGAGAGGAGCCGTTCCCCAGGTACTTCAGTTCTGGGGGAGAGAGAGAGAAAGAGGGGGAGCGTGAGCACCCCTAGTCCAGGCCTGAGGCTCCGAAGCCCCCTTGCTATTTCTCTCTCCTCTCCATTTTTCCTAAGTTGGGAAGGGATCTCCACAGGTAGTTTTTTTTTTTTTTAATGTTTATTTATTTTTAAGAAAAAGAGAGAGAGAGACAGCGTGAGCAGGGGAGGAGCAGAGAGAGAGGGAGACACAGGATCCGAAGCAGGCTCCAGGCTCTGAGCCGTCAGCACAGAGCCTGACGCGGGGCTTGAACCCATGAACCGTGAGATCATGACCTGAGGGGAAGTCATGACCTGAGCAGAAGTCTGCTGCTTAACCGACTGAGCCCCCCAGACACCCCTTCACAAGTAGAGCTGACAGCAAGGGACCTGCTTGGAACTCTCTCTCTCTCTCCTCTCTCTGCTCCTCGCCGGCCCTCGCATGCGCTTGCTGGATTGCACATTCTCTCTCAAAACAAATAAATAAACTTGAAAAGAAAAGGGGGGGGCAGGAGTGTAGCATTGACGGGGGCTGCAAGGCAGATGAACCTTGGAAACCTCATGCCTGCACTGCACACAAGAGCCTACGTGGCAAACGATTCTATTTAGATGCAATGCCCAGAAAAGACAGATCCATAGATACAGAAAGCAGGTGAGGGATTGCCAAGGGGCTGGGGGCGGGGGGTAGAACAATGGAGGAGGCAGCTAAGGGGTGCAGGGTTGTCTTGGGGGGATGATGAAAATGTTGTGAAATTGACTGTGGTATTGGTTACCACAGGACTCCTGAAGTGGTATATACATGGAAATGTACAGTATGTGAATTACATCCCAATAAAGTGGCTTAAAAAGTTACTCGTGGAGGGGCGTCCGGGTGGCTCAGTCGGTTAAGTATCTGACTCTGGATTTTGGCTTATGTCATGATTTCACAGTTCTGGAGATTGAGACCCATATCAATCTTGCTTGGAATTCTTTCTCTTTCTCTCTCTCTCTTCCTCTCTCTCTCTGCTCCTCCCCTGCTCTGGCTGGCTCATGCTTTCTCTCTCAAAATAAATAAATAAGGGCGTCTAGGTGACTCAGTCAGTTAAGTGCCCGACTTTGCCTAAGATCATGATCTCACAGTTTGTGGGTTTGAACCCCTCATCCGACTCTGTGCTGACAACTCAGAGCCTGGAGCCTGCTTCTGATTCTGTGTCTCCCTCTCTCTCTGCCCCTCCCCCACTCACCCTCTGTCTCTGTCTCTCTCAAAAAATAAGTAAACATAGGGGCGCCTGGGTGGCTCAGTCGGTTAAGTGTCCAACTTCGACTCAGGTCATGATCTCACGGTTCGTGGGTTCGAGCCCCGCGTCGGGCTCTGTGCTGACAGCTCAGAGCCTGGAGCCTGTCTTTGGATTCTGTATCTCTCTCTCTCTGACCCTCCCCTGCTCGTGCTGTCTCTCTCTGACTCTCAAAAATAAATAAAAAACATTTTGACAAAATAAGTAAACATAAAAAAATTTAATAAATAAACTTTAAAAAATAAAGTAAAACTAACTAGAAAGAATGATAACACAGCATCCGGTCTAATGGCTTTCTCTGAGGCTAGATGAAAGGGGCTGAAATTAGGAAGGAGCATTTGGGGTGTTCCAAAACTGGGGTTGCTGTTCTATGTCCTCTTTTTAAGTATGCCCAATGGGGGGCTCGAACTCACAACCCTGAGATCAAGCGTTGCATGCCCTACTGACTGAGTTAGCCAGACGCCCCTGTTTGAGTTCTTAACCTGGGCACCTAGCACCAAGGTGCTTTTTCATGGTGATTCTTCATAATGGGCATGTATTTGACAGATCATCTTTGCATCTAATGGACAGGAAGCAAAACAAACTGTCACACAGCGAGAAAGGGGAGCTTCCTGACTCCGCTCTCACTGTGTATCACCCTGGCCCTCCCGGGTTGGCTTCGAGGCCCTTCGACCTACCTGTGCAATTTCCTCGGGAGATGCCAATGGTCAGATTCTGTGGAGCATCTAGGACAGAGAGAGACAGTGAAGACTAGAGTCAAAGCTGACCCTTCCCCTCCTCCCCTCCGGAGCCACAGAAATGGGAATAGAAACAGAAAAGGGAATAGAGGGGCGCCTGGGTGGCTTAGTTGGTTGAGTATCTGACTTCGGCTCAGGTCACAATCTCACGGTTCGTGGGTTCGAGTCCCGCATCGGGCTCTGTGCTGACAATTCGGATCCTGGAGCCTGCTTCAGATTCCGTGTCTCCCTCTCTCTCTGCCCCTCCCCTGTTCATGGTCTGTCTCTCTCTCAAAAGTAAATAAACGTTTAAAAAAATTTTTTTAAAGAAAAAGGAATAGAAACGTGTTCTCCCTGCAGCCCCTCGGAGCCCCCCTGCCCCACCCCGCAGCCATCTACAGACACCAGAGTCCTGCCTTGCCCCCCACCTCCCCTCCCCCGCTCTCACAGGAGACGTTGAGCATAACGGTGCTTTGGGTGCTCACGCCAGCCCTGGGGAAGGTCACACGACAGGTGAGGTTCGTGCCGTGGTCCTGCGGACGGGGGGTAAGCAGGATCTCCGAGGAGTTATAGGCCTCCAAGTCCAGTCCCAGGTGTCTGAGGGCGGCCCCCGTCCAGGAGAGGTTGAGGGGCATCATCCCATCACAGGCCCTGGGCACAGAGCACGTGAGGTGGCTGGGGTAGCCAGACTCCAGGGGCTCCTTGATACGGATATCCGGGGTCTGTGTCAGCGCTGGAGAGGAGAGACCAGACCAGAGGGGACCCCCATGTCCCTAAACTGACCATGCTCCCCTGTTCCCCCCCTTAAAGGTGAGCAGCGGGGGCGCCTGGGTAGCTCAGTTGGTTAAGCATCTGACTTCAGCTCAGGTCACGATCTCAAGGTTCGGTTTTCTGGTTCGAGCCCCACATTGGGCGGGCTCCACGCTGATAGTGCGGCACCTGCTTGGGATTCTCTCTCCCCCTCTCTTTCTCTCTCTCTCTCTCTCTCTAAGTCCCTCTCCCACTTGAGCTTTCTCTCTCTCAAAAATAAACAAACTTAAAAAAAAAAAGTGAGCCGCCGGGGGTCCATTTCCACCCTCGAAGACACGCTCCCCCCATCCCTGACCCCCGAGGACCCTCCATACCTCTTACGGTCACACTGAGCAGGTCCCTTTGGTAACTGTGTTTCATGGGGCCTCTGTCCAGGTGAAAGTAGTAGTGCCCACTGTCCCCCCTCTGGGCACCTGTGATGTTCAGGGAGCAGTCCCCGGCCCCGGGGTCCCCGGCAAGGTGAAATGAAGACTTGCTCTTCCTCTTCAGGGCCTTGCCTGGATTGTTCGTGGCCATGAGAATTGTCCCTCTGGGATTATAGTGTTTCCGGAACCAGGAGCCGTAAATGGGAGGGGGAGCGCCCTTGCGAGCCCAGGGGTAGGAGAAGGTGCAGGGCACGTGGACACACAGGCCCTCCTCCACCGTCACAGACGCCTGCACCTGCAGCTTGTACCCCGGGTTCTCCTGCAGGGACCCTGGGGGCACACGAAGTCTCAGCGACGCAGCAGCCCCTGCCCGCCCGGCCCCCGCCCCCAGCCCCGGCCCTCAACCCACTCACCCGCCCACAGCAGCGGCGGCAGCAGCAGCAGCAGCATCCTGGGGGCCCCGGGGCTGCGCCTGCCCTCCAGCGGTGGCTTCTGGGCAGGCCTTTCTGTCCTGGAAGAAGACCAAGAGGAAGCTTCTGGGGGCTGGGGGGGGGGGAGGATAGTGACCATCTGCAGAAGAGGAACCACAGGAAGGGAACCACAGTGTCCTGGCGAATCCCTTCTTCCAACTTCTCCTTTCACGGATGGCGGCAGCAGCAGGGCAGAAGGGGTTCAAGGCTGGCCCTTCACAGGGAAGGAGTCCTGCGCCCGCCTGGGGGGGGGGGCAGTCCCGGCAGTGGGGGGGGGGGGGTAAGTGAGTAGGGCTCCAGGTGCTGTGCTGGAGGCAGGATTCTTCCTTCCTCTTTCTGTTTGTCTGCCTTTCCTTCTTTCTTTCTTCTTTTCTTTTCCTCCCTCCCTCCCTTCGTTCCTTCCTTTCTTTTTTAAAATGTTTTATTTATTTCTGAGAGAGAGACAGCATGAGCAGGGGAGGGTCAGAGAGAGGGGGAGACACAGAATCTGAAACAGGCTCCAGGCTCTGAGCTGGCTGTCAGCACAGAGCCCGATGCGGGGCTCGAACCCACGAACAGTGAGATCATGACCCGAGCTGAAGTCGGATGCTTAACCCACTGAGCCCCCCAGGCGCCCCTGCTTGCCTGCTCGCTTGCTCACCTGGCAAACGTCTGCTACAAACGGGCTGGCGACAAAGAGGAGAACCCAGTGCCCACCTCCCCTCCCCCACCCCCTGCTTCCCAAGTGCGCTCAGCCTCCCTGCATGCCTCGGCCACATCTGTCTGTCTGCAGTGTGCACAAGCTCCCAGTTCCACAGTGAGAAGCAAGCAAGGACACAGGTCCCCACACTCAGAAGGGCCTGACACTTGGGGTGTGATGCTCTGAGGCTGCCATCTTGAAATGCTTAATAATTTTACCTTTGAATTTGTGTTTTGTAAGTGAAGCCTGAATGGGATAAAGAGCACGAACTAGAGAAATCGGAACCTTGGATCACACGCCATCACGCCTCCAGCCCCCAACCTCCTCCTTCCCCGAGCCCCACTCCCACCCCCACACCCCACCTGGACACAGAGAGGGTCTAAGCCTTGCTGAGTTGAGAGGTGGGAGCCCTAGGCACCTGTGAAGGTCTACACTGCCCCCCCCAGTCATGCCCACTCCCCAGTCAAGCCTGAAGGGGATTGGACATTAACTGGCTATTGAGGAATGTCATCAAGAGGACACGGAGGTGTCTGCGTGGCTCGGCTGGTTAAGCATCTGAGCTTTTTGTTTGTTTGTTTGTTTCTGAGAGAGAGAGACAGAGTGTGAGCAGGGGAGGGGCAGAGAGAGAGGGAGACACAGAACCCGAAGCAGGCTCGAGCCTCCGAGCTGTCAGCACAGAGTCCGATGCGGGGCTCGAACCCCCAACCACGAGATCATGACCTGAGCCGAAATAGGAGGCTTCCCCGACTGAGCCCCCCAGGGCCCCCCACACTTTCCTTTTCTTATAAAGACACTGGTCGTGCTGGATTAGGGCCTACCCTCGTGGCCTCACTTTCAGCTGGTCACCTGCAAAGACCTGACCTAATAAGGCCACATGCACAAGTGCGGAGAGTAAGGCTTCAACATCTTTTGGGGGCGAGATAACAACGCACAGCAGAACTCAGGAAGCCCTGGACGTCGAGGCCCACGTGAGCTCCCTTGATGGGCAACACTACGTGCGTGTCATGACTCGGTGTTGTTGGGCGCAGTCATCAGCCTCGGGCTGTAAAACACCACTGACATAAAGCCCCAGCGATGGGGGGTGCGAATAGCAGAAACTGATTTTCTCACAGTTCTGGAGGCTGCGAGGTGCCGGCCCCTGGGAGAACCAGCCTCCTGGCCTGCAACTGGCTGCCTTCCAGCTGTGTCCTCACCCGCTAGAGAGAGATCTCTGATGTCTCTTCTTTCCTTTATATTTATTTATTTATTTATTTTTGAGAGAGAGAATAGAGGGGGAGGGGCAGAGAGAGAGAGAGAGAGAGAGAGAGAGAGAGAGAGAGAATCCCCAGCGGGCTCCACGCTCAGCACAGAGCCCAACTCGGGGCTTGAACTCACAAGCTGAGAGATCATGGCCTCCGCCGAGATCAAGCGTCCAACGCTTAACTGACTGAGCCACCCAGGCGACCTTCCAGGGTCTCTTCTTATTAGAAAATGTTTTCTCACGGTTTTGGGACCTCATTGAACCTTAGTTACCTTCCCGTCCTCACATGACATGATACAGTCGAGTCAGGAGTTAGGGCTTCAACCCCTGAATTTGGGGGACACACAATTCAGTCCCCAGCACTGGGAGAATGAGCGCTGTCCACGTGACTCCACGGGGCGAGCAGAAAAGGAAGCTGGACCAGGTCTCTCCTGCCCCCGCCCTGTGCGCCTGTTCCCACGGCAGATTTTTATTTTATTATTTTATCTTATTATATATATATTTTTTAATGTTTATTTATTTTAAGAGAGAGAGAGAATGCCAGCAGGGGAGGGGCAGAGAGAGAGGGAGACACAGAATCCAAATCACTTAGCCACTCAGGTGCCCCGTATTTTTATATATTTTTATATTCTTATTTTAAGTAGGCTCCACACCTTGGGGCACCTGGGTGGCTCAGCTGGTTGAGCGTCCGACTTCGGCTCAGGTCATGATCTCACAGTTCGTGGGTTCGAGCCCCACGTCGGGCTCTGTGTTGACAGCTCAGAGCCTAGAGCCTGCTTTGGATTCTGTGTCTCCCTCTCTCCCTCTGCTCCTCCTCTGCTCTCTCTCTCTTTCTCTCTCAAAATAAATAAATAAAAATAAACTAAAAAAAAAATTAAGTAGGCTCCGCACCTAAAGCAGGGCTCACACTCACAACACTGAGATTAAGAGACACACATTCTACCCACTAAGGCAGTGAGACGCCCACACCATTCCAGACTTTAATTTGTATCCTCTTTCTGTAAAAAACCCACGACTACAACAGGAGCGCTGGCCAGCTCTGTGGGTAGAGCATCCGACTCTTGATCTCAGGGCTGTAAATTCCAGCCCCCCTCTGGGCGTAGATTACTTAAAAACAAAATATGTAAATACACACATGCACGCATACATACACATGCATACGACAGTTTCTCTGCGTTCTCCAGGCCCTTCTAGTACATCGCCAAGCTGCAGGGCGTCCTGAGGACCCCAGAACATCTGTCCCCCTCCTCAGGCGCGGGCACAGGAAGCCAGGCAGAGGCGGCGCCCATTGACCCGCGTCGGTCGGTCCGCAGACCAGGGCTCGGCGCGCGCCGTGCGCCCCCTGGTGGCCACGCGGCGCACTGCTCGCAGCGAGCCCCGGCCGGGAGCCCACCGAAGCGGGGCAACTGGAAAATTACTGAGTTCATCAAAAACGTATAAAAGGAAACGGGATGTGCACAATCCGAAACCGCACAGAGAAAGCACCAGTTCCTTTTCATCTGTAACCAGTTCCTCACTTAACTCCTTAACCCCTTGTCTCTCAAACACGAGGGGACCTGTCACTTTTAACTAAACGGTCCCAGGACCCACCACAGGGACACTGCACAGTATGTCCCCAAACCCTGGCATGTAGACCCAAGGCCATGGCGTTCCCTGCCCCTCCCTCTAATTGCCATTGTTACTATATTGTCCACGGCCCCGCCTGGGCCCCCTGAACAGCGGGCCTGAAAGGGCCCCCCCCCAGGGCAGGCCCTGCGGAGAGGGGACAGAGGACTGCTGTCTCCAACTCAGTCCCTCTGCCTCAGTTTGAGTCAGTTTTTCGATTTCTGCAGAATTGCAAGATGGGCCCCTCAAACTTTCCTTCTTCCAAACCAAGTCAGCAATTCCTCACTTTGCCGATAGATGAGCAGAGAGACTGAGGGTGAGGAGGGGAGCCCAGCTGGACCCCAGGGCCCGGGGACCGCGTGGCGTTGACACGCTGCGGGTGCTGAGGACTGAGGAGTCACCTAACAGCAGGCTGTGTCCAGCGGAAGAGAGAAACCCTAATCTGCTCCCTTCCCCAGAAGGCGTCGTCCATTGCCTCTCGGGCTCCTTGGCCTGACAACCAGGTCCAGTTACCCGGACACAGAGGCCACCCTTCCTGAGAGAAATCACTGGGTGCAGAGTCTCCCGGACGCGCAGTGCACGGCACCCAAGTGTGTGTGTGTTTGTGTGTGCATGTGTGTACGTGTGCGCCGGTCTCGTGCGTCTGCTGTATCCGGACATGGATGTGTCTGTGCTTGTGTGTGCCTGTGGGTGTGCACGGCTGGGTCTCTGAGTGTGTGTTTTATCCTCATGTGCCCATATGTGGTGAGGATACCTGTGTGTGTGTGTGTGTGTGTGTGTGTGTCTATATGTTCACACACTAGATATTTGAAACCAGCCTCAGAAGTTAATATTGAGAAAGACCACATACACCTTGGGGACTGTTAGTTGGATGTCTGCGTCATTACTTCTGAAGCGACAGGAGGCATTACAACGCTTAAAAGCACAGGGCCCCCGGGTGGCTCGGTCAGTGAAGTGTCCGACTTCGGCTCAGGTCATTATCTCACGGTTCGTGGATTCAGGCCCCGCATCGGGCTCAGCGCTGACAGCTCAGAGCCTGGAGCTGCTTCAGATTCTGGGTCTCCCTCTCTCTCTGCCCCTCCCCTGCTCATGCTGTTTCTCTCTCTCAAAAATGAATAAACTCAAAAAAAATGTTTTTAATAAAATGTTTAAAAGCAGAAAAATTGAGGGGCGCCTGGGTGGCTTAGTCGGTTAAGCGTCTGACTTTCGCTTAGGTCATGATCTCGCGGTTCGTGGGTTCGAGCCCCGCGTCGGGCTCTGTGCTGACTGCCGGCTCAGAGCCTGGAGCCTGTTTCAGTCTGTGACTCCCTCTCTCTCTGACCCTCCCCTGCTC